ATTGTTGACTATGTGGAGGGTTATACTCCTTGCATTATAAACTGTAATACCACAGACCTACTGCCGATTCTCGGCATTGATCAATAATATAATATTTACATGAGCTATATATAAGGGCACGTGTGGCGCAGTGATCGGAGGAACCCTGCGATACACATGGGATCGGTCCCCGAACTCCACATCAAGCCTTCCATTCCTCCGGGGTCTGCAAATTGGTACCAGAGTTGTCTGGGAGGATAGCAGCACTGGCTCGATGCATCAGTAGGCCCGCGAGTCGTTGTAAAGACCAGATATTCATTCAGTCACCCAAAACGATGTTTAATGAAGTTGAATGCATGGCACATCCCTCAGGGATTGATCAACGCCGAAAGCTTTTTTTCATCATAACTCATAACTCTTTAAAAATCAGTGGAAGGTTATGGTAGAAAGATTGCATAACGGTAAGAAAAACTGTGCTGAGGCACACTGTTGAGGGCATGCTCTGTAAACACAGTGCCACTGAAGAATTGTCAGTTACTTAATATTCCATTGTTCCGAATTTATCAACCAATCATATAACTTTTGATTCTAGCTCACTAATGGATACCCAGCCGATAGGCTGAGGGACGGTGGCCTGAGGGACGCCTACCAGTGAAGCTAGCGAATAGAGAGTTAAGCGTGGACTACAAGGCACCTCATGATTGCTTGATACGCTGTTGGACTCAGCGTAGAGACTGCCTGTTATATACACGCCGATTCGACCTTCTACAAGATCATCTACGGAGATTTAGACGTTAACGGAGGTCGAAGATAAACGTCTGAGAACTTCATGTCTTTCCCTTTTTCTGCAGAAAGGAAAGAAAGGTGAAGAATTCATAAAACGAACTGAGCTGCCGTAAATTAAAATTTCTTCAGATTATTAACCTTATCTTAGAAAGATGGCGATATCGACAGCATCGATGGAAAATATGACTAGACGATCAAACATCTCCACATTACTTCCAGAAATTTCGAGAAACTGCTCTTTAAATTTAATTTTGACAAGGAAGGAAAGTAAATAGTTGGTTTCTTTTTGCTGGAAAGAAACAATTAACATATAAGGACGAAAGCATTAGAAGGTCTGATTATCAACGCATATCGTATTTACACACAGCGAGTGTCTGTCGTAGTGTATAGCAACCTCAGGAAGCGAACTAACAGACCCTGCAACTTTCCACCTCTTATTTAAAAACTAATAAGAATCACTTGCTCAGAAAACACAAATAATCTTCGCCAAGCTATATAGCAATGCTGCTAACATTTCAGGTTACTAAGATATCCACCAAAGCACACAAACGACAAAGGCAAAAAATTTGTTATTGCACTGTGACAGATTTAAATACGAACGAGTAGGAGGGTCGGCAGAAATTGATAGCCCAGCTCCAGTTTACCCAGTATTGGGTGTATGTAAGTCCAGATGACAAGTCCATGATATTCCTCCAAAAAATATTACAAAAATTCATTTCAACACTTAGGGCGGCGTGTAGCGCAGTGGATGGAGGCGCATACAATACACATGGGACCGATCACCGCCCTAAGGCCCACCAAGCCATCCATCCCTCCGGGGTCGGCAAATTGGTACCAAACTTGCCTGGGAGGATAACGGCACTGGCTCGATATATCGGTAGGCCACCGGGCCACCGCGAGTCACTGGAAAGGCCAGTTATGAATTCAATCGCCTCAAGCACAGAGATTGATCAACGCCGAGATCTTTATACTTATCTTTTATCCTTTTAATTCAACGCTTTGTAGCTGACACTTGAATCCATGTGTATAACGCATTTACTTGACAGCTACTCTTCGTTGCACTCGCTACGAGTTGATATCGACTCTTTTCGGTTGATTTACCACTCAAAGCCCGTCCATCTTGTCATACTTTTCGCTCTGTAAATCGTCATTTCTCTGGATTTATTTGTAGTTTCTTTCTATCCACTAGGTTCTTCGCTATATTGTTCTATCGAACATTTTGAGCAAAGTTGATGTCGAGATGCAAATACAATATATATTAGTAACTACTACACCATTCTATTCTGTACGGTAACCATGATTCATTGCAACGAATGGAAATGAAATAACATTAAATTAGTGGCAGAACTTCTTAACACATGCTTGACGATGTTTGTTTTTCGACAACTCTAGGAAGAACTTTGTACAATTTCTTGAAAGTGTCAGCCTTAATACTTCATATTTTATTCAAGCTTCAAGCATTTAAAAATTATGGAAACGAATGTAAAAGTCTTACAGTCTTAGGGTCTGGAACAACTTGATAGCCATCCAACTTTCAGCCAATATATCTCAGCATAAAGTAAAAAAATCTTTGCTGGTTAAAACAGTATTCGTAAGAACCTATGAATTTTCTCTAATAGTATACAAGACCTCTTTATCTCACCAACGTGAAATCCTGATTTCATGGAACTGAGAAATCGCACTTTCATCACTTTTCCTCGCCGAGACTCGCATTTCGAAAATGAAAGAAATTGAACAAGCGCTGTTTTGTCCATCGCTTGTTATACCGAAGGAGGTACCTCTATGCCCAAAATACCGATAGTTGGCATACTAGATGGATAAGAGAGTAACCCCAGGCGCAAGTGCAATTGAAAGGCACATGCGGAAGGAATACAAACGACCAGTTTTCTTTCTTTGATGAGCTTACAAGATGTTGATGAAGATATTTATTTCCGGCTAGTCTTTCGACATCTTTGTCTTCATCAGAGCCGATGATCCGAGGTCATCGCTTGATCTTCGTCTCGATGTGGCGGCTTCGTCTTCGTATAGAGCAGGTCCTCCTCAGCGGAAAATAAATGTATTTATCAACCTCGTGTAAGACCATTAAAGAAAGAATCTATTCAATGTTTTTCATCAATAAGCAGACACGAGGTTGTTAATATAGAATTTATTAGAACACAATTGCTGACGTTTCGGCGGTTTCGCCTTCTTCAGAGCCTGGAAAGGTCAAATTGAGATGCGATCTACTCAGCCAAACACTTTCATAACCCTAGCAGATAAAACTTGATAAATCGATTTGTGTTCGCATAAGAAACAGCTTCATTCAAACACCTACCGTTTATTTGTCGTAAGTATTTAAGTTAGTTGGTGGATAGCCGCCGCACAGAGTAATACATGGTCGATAACTGGGTCCATGTCAGATCATTGGATCAGCCTGAGGTATGGCGCTAGGTCACGCGTGATGACAAGACACTCCTCCTTGCGGTTCATTTTTGAATTTNAAATTCAAAAATGAACCGCAAGGAGGAGTGTCTTGTCATCACGCGTGACCTAGCGCCATACCTCAGGCTGATCCAATGATCTGACATGGACCCAGTTATCGACCATGTATTACTCTGTGCGGCGGCTATCCACCAACTAACTTAAATACTTACGACAAATAAACGGTAGGTGTTTGAATGAAGCTGTTTCTTATGCGAACACAAATCGATTTATCAAGTTTTATCTGCTAGGGTTATGAAAGTGTTTGGCTGAGTAGATCGCATCTCAATTTGACCTTTCCAGGCTCTGAAGAAGGCGAAACCGCCGAAACGTCAGCAATTGTGTTCTAATAAATTCTATATTAACAACCTCGTGTCTGCTTTTTGATGAAAAACATTGAATTATCAATTAATGCCGAGGTTAACAGAAAGTCGGTCATGGGAAAGAATCTATGTTGAATAGTAATAAGCAAAGCCAATTTTGAAATACAAACGACCTGCTCAAGCATGTTATCAATCGGAAGCCACGGTGAGGATAGCTAAATAGAGTGGTATCGTAAGGTTCACTGTGATTGCGTATGCGGTCAGATAGCATCCTATTCTATATATTTCAGAAGAGCGAGAAAGTGGTACACTAATTCGTCTCTTCCGGCCGATGGATTAGATAAATACGACTTTACTTCACCATAGGCTTAAAAACTGAGGGATGAAGCTCTCGGCGTTGATCACTCCCCGAGAGATGCGCCATGCATTCGATTCCTTAAGCATCGCTCCGAGGTGACTGAATGCATATCTGGCCTTTACAATGACTCGCGGTGGCCTACCGATGCCATTGCTGCTATCCTCTCAGACAAGTCTGGTACCAATTTGTCGAATTCGGAAGCACAGGGGGCTTGGTGGGCCATGGACGCCGGGATCGATTCCACGTGTGTGCCGCCAACCACTGCGCCACACGCGCCCTTCTCAATAAGCTTATAAATCGCTAAACTGTGTAGACTGAGCATTATAATAAGTGTAAATTGTGTACAAGTGGTGTAGACGTAGTAGGTTTTAAGCATTATAGGTACTATATACAAAATGCAAGCTGTAAGAACCACAGAATTTTGAAATAATTTTATCTGAGCATGATCCTTACAAAATAACAAATTTGTTATGATAGCAGGAAATATGACACACTGTTTAAACACATTGATTGAACGCTTTGCTCACTTAGAGGCAATAGTTTCCATATATGAAACTGTGCTACTGCTACACCTACAGAATTATCTAAAACGATCTACGATCTTATCATAGCGAATAGAGATGTCTCTTCATGTCGACTTTCAGCATTCAAATGTAGGGAAGACATCTATATATCCACCTCTATGGCAGCACTCTGTGGTGCGTACTATCTTCACCAGCAACTGTCTACGAAGCGAAACAAACTTGTACAAAGATGGCCTTGTTTTGTAAAATATTAATTGTACTGAATACCTTCTAAGGTCAAATATTCAGTGCAGTGAATGTAAAAATTATAGCAAAAAACCTTTTTTTTTGGAAAAATTAAGGAATGCGAAGAAAATGAACTGATACCAAGTCAGGGCGACCGGTCTGCCTTTTCCTTCTTTCAAATGGAATTTTCACATGATTGACTACCTAAAAAAAACACCTTTTGGTTTTCTGGTGAGAATGTTATGAATATAAAAACTATTAAAGAGACGGGGCGAAACTTACATTCAAAAGTGTCAAAGGCGCATCATTAAGAAAAGTTCGAAATACTAGTATTAAAACTAATACTTAAGGGCGTCGAAAAAAGCTGAGATCACCGAATAAGATTTTCGCCCTTTTTATATCTATGATTTCAACGTTTTTGATAGGCAGATAAAGGAAGCTACTCCTGAAATACATCGTGATCGTCTCCGAAATTCTGGTGTAAACAAGATATGATTAAATTTACCCTCCAAACCACGAAAACTTAACCAAAGTATCGTTTTTGTTAGCAGCAACCTCACTCAATGGAAGAACATCGGCGACGTCCAAGTATCTAAAAAGGCGAATTGCATTAGTAAAAATGTTAGTAACGAAACACTCCAATACATGCAGCTCAAAAATGAACCCTCGTTGTCGGTCAGCGAGCAAGTAATTCAATTTTTTTGTGCTTTTAGCTCCCAAATTTTAATTTCCTAAGCATTTTGGTAGCAACTTTAGCTTCTATACTAATTTTATCTTCCGTTATAATACTGAGATACTTGCAAATCTCCGGACCGCAGGTGTATGCTGTGGGGAACGAACACGCGCTGTTGTCCTTACCGGGGAGCAGCGCACTTCACCACTACACCATCCGGGTCCTGAGATATTTACAAAACTCCGGACCACAGGTGTTCCCGGATGGTGTAGTGGTGAAGTGCGCTGCTCCCCGGTAAGGACAACAGCGCGTGTTCGTTCCCCACAGCATACACCTGCGGTCTGGAGTTTTGCAAATATCTCAGCATTTCAAACGAGACAAACAGTGTTGAATTTCACTGATGAAAGCATTCTCAGTGAACATCAAACCACTCTAAAGGTGTCTGTTTGATGACCTCATTATCATATCATATAGCGGCATCCTGGGCTTTTCCAATGACCATACTGTCAAAGTTGCACACATCCTTCAAAAGCAGTGAGCTCTCGTCGCAAAATAATCTCGCCCAAAAAAAGCTTTTGTAAATTATTAAGCGCAGAGAATATCTTTTCATGGACCATTCGTGATCATGGGTCCACGTTTAGCAAGCTATCAAGAGAATGCAAAAAATGTGGTAAAAAAGAAAACACGTAGAGAACGCTGTGGATCATCGACTCGGATCATCGGTTATAGAGAGAATAATTCCCTGAAATTTGAAGCAATATCTTTGCTGGATAAGCCATCGAATTCAGAAGGTATAGCAAAGAAAAAAAACTGTATGGCAAACTGAGAACTGAGAAGAAAACCAGTCACGTACGGTACTATCTATGTTCCTGAGTGGCCTACAAAGGTTGTCAGAATAAAATCAGAAAGATATTTCGATAATCAGAAAGAACTTGCTTATTTTTTCGCGATCCCCAAAACGTCAAATATCCCACTCTAACAGAATCGTTGCTTTCGTTCATTGAAATGACGCCAACTAGTCTGTTTAAATATCTGAAAGTTATTTCTTAGTATCCCATCTAAATCAACTCTATGAAAACTCGGACAAGTCTATCGAATAATAAAACCTGCCTGCTGAAGACAGCTAATGTGATCGGCGCTATAACAGCTAGTATAGCAGAAGAGTAGAAGAAAACAGTATCGATGTGTCCCATAGAAAACTGGTATGAAGAGTACGGAAGATATAAAATGGCGAATGCAGTTTGAATAACCTTTGCACGAGCCAAAAGTACAGCAAACCGTATACCTGGATATCGGTAAACTGCGATCCTGAATGAGATAACATAAAGGACCATACAACGGTTCTGAGCTCAAAATATGGTAATAAGCCAAACCATTTTTCCTTCTCGGGAGATTTCTTAAGCAGATCATCGTTTTGTTTGGATCGGCCGTTGACCGTGCCCAAATTTTCTTCGGGATTCATGCGTTTCAAGACCTAATCAGAGCTCAGGTACAAACACAAATGAATGGTTCACAAGTGGATCATGAACGCAAGAAACAGTGAGGAAAGATGTCAGTTATTTGTTTCTGAAGCATTCGAAGTACTGCACACGTCAGACCTGTCCGACCAACCTCAAACTGTAGTACAACGTACGCCTCGAGGACTTCAAAATTGCCTATTCTGATTGGAACATAGACACTCTGCCCTACCAACAACATTTAGCAGAAGAGAATTCTACCACTAAAAGCTGATAATAACAAGAATTTGTCTGGTGATGCAAATTAGCTCATACATTTGACATTCTCTTTCGGTTACTTGTATTTCTAACAATAACCATAATGATGCTGATATATTTGCAAAACTCCGGACCGCAGGTGTCTGTGGTGGCGAACGAACGCGATATTACCCTTTCTGGGGGCTAACGCGTTCATTACACCTTGCCGTTCCCTTGTTCCGCGTGTCTTTCAGCTAATTTTCAATCTACCACTGCCATCAGTAATCAGCCGTCAACAGGATTGATCTGGTAATATGGGGAGACGGCCGAAACAAGGGATCCGCATTGTGTGGTGGTGGAACGTGTTAGTCTCCGGAAAGGGTAATAGCGCGTTTGTTCCTCAGAGCATACACCTACGGTCCGGAATTTTGCAAATATCTCATCATCATTGTGGATGTCTTCCACACAGTACCTTACCGTGAAAAAATGTAGGCGAAAGATAACATTGTGACTTCTAACCATAACTTTATATCACTCCTACAGCCCAACCTGGGTAGTACTAGAACATTGGCCAACCTTCTGCCATAATACCAACACTTTTCCACGTAGTGATGTTAATGGACGAAGAACCATGACGCCGGTTACCGCAAAGCGATAGATTTCTCCTCGAAATAGAAGTAAATGTTGGATGAATTGAAACAAAAGCACTGGAATAAACTGGTGTGTAACCAGCTAACTACATAAATGGAAGGAAGGTTTATATTTGTACCAAATCTTATTACCATCAACATAATTCTACACTTAACACCTAAACAAGTGGTCCAATTTCCTCATTGGTGGACATGAAATAATATTAGAAACTACTTTTTCTACACTACAAGAAGATTAGTTGGTAAATTTTCGAAGAACAACAAATAAAAATAGGTGATGGACAATCATTTATTAAATTATTGAGTAACCATCGAAGAAAAGGAAAACTGGTGTGGAAAAACAACTGAATACAGGACAAGCACCATAGAACATTACAACAGAGAAGAGTGGTTTAGTAACAAACATCCACAAACCTGAATCCGACAGACTAATAATTCCACCTATAAGGGCCATGGAATCGTCCAAGATATAGTTTTAATCCTTATATCAGAACGTGCGTCCCAAACTGCACAGAATCGGCTAGAAAAGATTCCTGATTAATCGGGTAATCATTCGAACAACCATAGGGATGTGGTGATCAGCCCTCCTAAGAGCCACTTCATCCAATATCGAAGCAAAATCAAATAATCTATTTCGTTCCTGAAATTAAAATCTTTTCCTTGACTCCCAGAATACGCATAGATGACATACCTCTTTTAACTGATCACGTAAATGTTCATTGGACGTTACCAGCAGCACTTGTGCTTCAAGGTCACGGTGAACAGACCGATACCCTGAAAGTGATGGTCAGCTCCAGCCAAAGCCAGAAGAGGTAGATGGATGAAATACAAGACAACGACAAAACAAACAGACCAAAATTGGAAGATCCAATGAGAGAAGCGGTCTCTGTTGCTGTTTCCACCCACAAACCTTTTGCGTGGAAAGTCCATCCATCGCGATAATACTCATACAAGTTCACGTTGGACCTATTATATCTCTTCTTCAATTGTAGAACACTCTCCGAAACCCGGGAGTATATGGACGGAATGTATCCAGAGGTTCCGGTCGCGCCGAAGAATCCGTTAGCCTATGAACTAACACGTATTTCTCATTATAAGAAAAAAATGTGACGAACTGCTAGAAAATCTCTTGTGCTTGGAAGCTTTGATAATAAAGTTCACAATTACTTTAGGTGCTGCAGTGATTATGTCCATCGAATATTTGCCCTCAGTGAACATTAGTTGTTCGTACTCTCTTATGCAGTTGAAATAGCCAGATGCCATTGTTATGGTTATGTCGCTGGCCTGTAAAACACAGACAAAATAAGAACTCATAGTTCTGCTATAAAAGGATAAAGGATAAAGCTCTCGACGTTGATCAATCTCTAAGAGATGAACCATGCATTCGACTTCATTAAGCATCGTTGAAGGTGACTGAATGCATATATGACCTTCAAAATGACTTGCGGTGGCCTACCAATGTCTCGAGCCAGAGCCGCTATCCTCCCTGTCTGGTAATAATTTGCCGGCCCCGCAGGGATGGAAGACTTGGTGAGCCTTCGGCATGAGGATCGATCCCATGTGTATTGCAAGGGGCCACCGACCACTGCGTTACACGCACGCACCATTAGTTGTGCCATAAACATCAAAATATTAACTACACCAATAAGTACCTGCAGCGAAAGAAGTCCTTTCAACAAGTTGTACTCCTCATTGTATTCAAAAGGACCCATTTGAAGCAATGGATATACAATAGTGTCACTCAATGAATGTGGCAGCAATTCTTTGTCTGGCAAGGCAGCAATAACTTTGTCAATGCATGACCGAAGTAGGGCGCGATAATCGGCGAAGCATCCTAAAATTTAAATAAACCGACGTTATATGATACATAACAATAGTTGCTTTAAAATATGCAAATTTCCTACATCAACAATAAGGAGATTCGCGATGACGCCAAATTTAGCGCTGCAGCCGCAAAATTTTTTGATAACCATTGGTTCGAATAGGAGTCATATCGGCCACAATGCCTCGTCAATGAGAAACCTCGCCCCTTCTATTTCGAAGTTCTCTCCCGAAAGCATTTCTTCTTTCCTCATATTCTATCCACCCTGTATATTCTTCTGTGCATCTCTCCATCCACCCTGTATATTCTTCTGTGCATCTCACCATGTTTTTAGAATATATTCAACTCTTGAGTCCAATGAAAAAAAGTCTATCATCCAAAGACAACGCTTTCAGCAATAATAACATTTGTTCATCACATCGAATGGAAATGAAATAACAACCAGTTACGAATTAATAATTACGCTTTAAAATGAAAAAAATGCTTCCGACGGTACCTGACCAATTCTCGACAAGAAAAGTACTTGAAGAGCTTAAAAGCCGATAAACTCAAAAAAAACATAATGTTTGATTTTATCTACTGTTTATCGTTTTTTCACGGCAGGTATTATGTGGAAGGCGCGGCAATGATGATAAGATATGAGCAAAACTCGGAACTCTAGTGAGCTTCGAACGCATGACTACTGTTTCCTAGGGCAGTTATCTACTGAACGACCAAAGCCTGGTTTGCCTTTCTCTCAACCAGTTTTTCAATCAAACAGGCTATCAGCAATCTTTCGATGATGATCGGAGTTCCGCGTTTTGCTCATATCTCAAGAAAGAAACTTTACTTTATCGTTTTATAGGTTCAAAGTTGCTATATATCAGCTCATGTCACAAAATAAGCACGGTTGATCGCCATTACAAGGATAGAATAATCAGATTACTTTAGCTCGTGTTTCATTTACGTCTGAGACTTCTGAGAATCACTGAAAATTGACCATCTGTTGCTAAATGTTTAAGCCAGACGTGCCTGAGCGCTATCCTTGAGTTGGCTCAGAAATACATAGACGTCGCATTGATCGTATTAACAAGAATCAAAGGCTTTAGTGAAATGAGATGATTGGCAAATAGGTCAACACTAGATGCAGCCAACGAAACAACCATTGTTCAAACTGTTTCAGCAATTTCCACAGCCCTCCCAACGGTTTACCGCCTAATCGTGGGCTGGGATGTGTTCCTGGGTACCGGGCTGGGATATACAGCGAAGGATTCATCCTCCCGGCACGGTCTCCCAAGCTGAGAACGAGTCAGGCATTTCCATAGGGAAACCCATCTAAGAGTAAATCAACACCAGGATCGACCGCCGTCCTGGTATCAAGCTAGTCGCATGGTGGCAAATCTTCCTCGGATCCACAAGGGTGGTGACGAACACCGGTAGACCTTGGCTAGGCTAGGTTGCCCTCAGGACTCCAGGGAAACATAATGGCTGAACCAGCAAAACTCCGGAAAATGGACACTATGCTGGGGCCCGCACAACCAGTGGGGACGGGCCGCCGAAGCATCCAAGGATGTAAGCATTTCCATAACAGTGAAAGTATGGAGTAATGTTAATGACTTTCAATGTGCGAAAACGTGTTAATTATAACGATTTCGCATTACAAATACTGTAAATTTTACAAAGAGTATTTTAGGTTGTGATGCAAAGAATGTGAATGATATGTAAGAATGCAAACCAGTTTGAAAAATGGAACGATGTTAGTGCGATATTTATAACTTCAAAAAGATGTTATTAGAACAAGAAATGAAAAGATGACGACGTGGAACACATTGGGACATGTTAGGGAGCGCCTAGGTCGTTGATAGATAGCTTTTTACACCTATGCAAGTCTCTTGAGCGATTTACAATGATAACAAAGAGATATCTCTGTGCGTCGAACTTCGTTGTTCGAATGCAGCAGAGAAATCTCCGTTCCACGCCCAATGGCAACAGCCTCTTCACTGGCTACTCTTCAACAGCAACAATTTCTCCACCTTTTCTTGTTTTTTTCTCCACCGAAAGAAGAACTGGGTACAGAGTACAGTTCTTCTTTACGAATTATAAAAAGTAGTGAGCAGCTTCCGTCTAGGTCTGGGAGACTGGGAGGATAGCAGCACTGGCTCGTTACATCGGTAGGCCACCACGGGTCATTGTAAGGGCCATAAGTGCATTCAATCACCTCAAAACGATGCTTAATGACGGAGTGCATGGCGCATCCAAAAGAGATTGACCAACGCCGAGAGCTTCATCTTTTTTTAGTGAACAGCTTGTATGGCTGACATCTGTACCCCACTGGCTAGTGACTGATTAGAAGTTTAAGAAAAAAGTTCTTGCGCCAAAATAAACGACTGAAAATACTCCACAGCAGTCATATTACAATGTCCTCCCGACATGCCATTCAATATCAATTCACGTCTTTGCGAATGGGTTAAAAATTTCAAACACACCACTGCCACAATGGCGTTGCTCTGACGTCCTAGCGCAAGAAGCGTCGCTTTTCAATCTTTGTATGTCCGAAATGAAGTCTCGGTTAGAAATAAAAAGTAGAGATAAAAAGTAGAGAGGGCTCCAGAATGCCAGTATTTTACCATTATAAAATAAAGGTTGTACATTGTTGAAAAACATTTTCGGACCCCATTGGTTTGACCCAAACTAGTAAAGCTCAGAGATCTTGCTTTAAAATTGAAAAGCTACGTTCGTTTAGGCCCCATATGGATAATAAATAACTCATAATGTGCAATATTTGTAGTCGTTCGTTTTGCCTTTCTCTCAGCCGTGTTATTGATCTATACGTGCTATTAGCAATCACCCGCCGACGGAGTTGATATAAGGTAGCTATAGCTCAATAACACGGCTGAAAACACGGCAAAACGAAGGACTCGGTGGTGTGGTGGTGAACATGTTAGCTTCCGGATAGGGTAATAGCGTGTTCATTCACCACCACAGATACTAGGGGTCCGGAAATTCGCAAATATCTCAGCATCATTATGGTTATATTTCACATAATACGTTGCCACTAAGAAAAACAGGCTACAAATAAAAAGTGACGACATCATGCTAATTAGATTACAAAAAACTCTTAAAGTTAGCTAAACGCTTGAAAATACCCGAAGTCGCAAACACGATCTCAACAAACCTTCAAAAGGGTGCACAGAGCAAGCAGGATTTAGTTCAATCGAACCCTGATCGCAAAGCTGAAAGGAACACTTGCCAACAGCTGCGACAACACCGTGGAAGAAGTCAGCCAATTCCTTACAGCTTTCGAATACAACGTATCGATCTTGTCGGTTAATAAAATAAGACGTGGATAGATTTGCTCTGAACAATGAATAAATAACTGCATACAAAATAGATTTATGGATGGAACATAAAAAATAACTTACCCAGTTAAAAGTACCGTATCATCAAAAACATAAATTTTCATATGCTGCAAACCTATGATTTCATTTGTTCTTTCTGGAAGGATATGCCTCAGTAGTCCACGCAACTTAGGCGTATGGTACAAATATACCTAAATAAATGTTATATCCCAGCTGTAATGCGAGCTCTACCCTACTTTTTATCTCTAGGAAACATGAATCTACATCAACGAAACCCTAAATGTCACTACTCTTCTACACGTTGCATCCACATTTGTTTCGGCTCTCAGTTCGCCTCCTTAGTTTGTAACCGTCACCAGTACAGAAGCGCCGACTTGGGCTTGGCCCCTGCTTGAAAACTTGCCACTCTCTCTTTCCATGCACATGCTGGTGGCTAACCTAGCGGGGTCCCTCTTGCAAACCCACGACTGCCGCCTACCAAGTGGAATTGTTCTCTGGCGGCAGCCACTGTTCAAAATAGGCGACTGAGAGACTCGCAATAATCCAACAAACAGAATCCATTGCTCATTTCAAGGATATTTTGAACTGCAGAATAGAACAATTTCATCAAGAAAAGCACCGTTATAAGCAACGTCATAAATAAACATATAGTTAAATTTTCTGGAAGAATAATTCTTGAAATGGTGGTTGGTTAAAGTAGGACTGTTATCATGTTCCAAAGATAGGGAGACGATCGCAACTGTATGTAGAGATCCACAGTGTTTACACGTGGGTTTTCACCATAAGGCTCGCAACGTCCCTCAATTACCTGTCTGGGCTCATATATGCTTTGAAACGACTCATCTGACTCGCTACATTGGCCTCCGGACGTCTACAGAAATATCGAGTTCGATCAATTAAAGTGGCAAATAAATAAAGAACAAAGCTCTCGGCGTTGATCAATCCCTGAGTGACGCGCCATGCTTTCGACAACATTAGGCATCGTTGGAGGTTTGGAGGTGACTGAATGCACATCTGGCTTTTGGCCTTTACAATGACTCGCCGTGCCCAACCGATGTATCGACACAGTGCTACTATCTTTCCAAACAAGCCTGGTACCAAATTTCCGACCACAAGGAGATGGAGTACTTCGTTAGCCCAGTGCGAGGGGTCGACCTCATGTGTACTGCAAGACGCCTCCGACCACTGCACCACACTCGCCCCTTAGGTGGTAGTGGCATGAACATTGAACAAATTTCGTATATAATATCTTACCGAAGCTCTATTAGCAATAGTCTTAAGAAGCGTAGTGCTACTGCTCCCTATGGCGGAACCACGTGTACCACGCAAATGGTCCAACAATACAACAACTTGAAGGTTTTCCCTTTCTTTAAGATTAGAATCAATTGATTCCACCTGCAATTATAACAGATAAACACTATCGCTTATGAAATGAGAACCCGAAACCCACCAGAGCCTGTTCAGGCGCTCCAGTTCCGAGATACAATGTACTGAGAACGATTCGCTGTGTGGCCGATCTCGATCGAGTCTGCACCATAGAAGTTACATATGAGACGTGTTAAGCAACATTAAACAAAGTATTGGCTTAGATAAGTTCAACCTTTCCCAATTCTTCGACCTCGACAACCTAAACCTCAACCGACCTTCCTTTCTCCTTTCGACTTTCTGTTTACCCATCACAATCAAAACTCAATCGACGTCACTAAAAGCTAATACGACAACTTTACCATTACCAGTAATCTTTAGCTTTCTATTGAAAATTCGCTCCAAGAAATTCTTCTTTTTACACGACTTTTCATTAATCAGGTCTATACTCATCCATCAGATTTCAGGTATAACTTTCACCTAAAGGCCATAAAAAGACTTTCCACGAAAGAAAAAACATACCAGAAGGAACTCGTAGAACTCCACCGGAGATTTGAGTAGTTTCACATTCCCAGCAGAGATGCGAATTGCACGCGATTTTGGTAGTTCAAACTCCATCGGCTAACTTGGACACTGAAGATACAACACCCCGATTACCACTTGCAAAAGCGTTTACAGGCTTTCCCTCTATAAAATTACAAAAGTAACCAAATCATAGATTGCAATAAGCAGAGTTTTTCAAGAATAATGAGCAATGCGAATCTTATCGCGACCCGACGCCGGCCTGTGTCAGTTCCATAAGGTCCGGACGAGTTTAGCCATAATTTAGGCGCGAGGTTCAAAGTTTAAGTACGTGTCTTTCTTGTTGTGACTAGGTTGTCCATACATTAATTTCTTTTTGCTTTGATGGCTGCTGTATCAATGTCTTCCTCGTTTTCATTGTTCTTACTGTGTAGGAGTAGTGTTTTGTACCGCCTGGAATGCTCAGTAGTGTTGAAGTTGATCCATGGTAGTCATGTATCCCACTTTCCGAGCTCTACATTTTAGATTCACCGGCTGGGCGGCTAACATTTTCTCAAACTGCAGAAGTCGCCAATGACTCATAAGACAAGGCAAACAAAATCTGAATCCAGGAAGAAGTTAGAACGTGATCTTGTGCTAGTTCGTGAAGCTTTTAACAATGAAGGTTCCATTTTTACTTCCGTGTTAACTATCATTGCGAAATTGTCGCTTAGGCCCTTTTTAGCCGAGGCTCGCTATAGCGCTCTACATCGGAAGGCTGATGAGGCCGCTTGCAGCCTTCGTGACGATCTGCTAAATGCTGTCGAATCTTTATTGCCTCAGGTAACTTAAAGGATCGACTTTCTATAAACTTGGGCATAATAATCGATATATCTGTATATGTTTTTACGAACCGTCCTTTCCTAGACGACGTAAGGTTGGTATAGATGTTTCGTTGCTGTCTTTGTTAAATGGCTGACGTTTCGGCAACTTCGCCTTCCACAGAGCCTTGCCGTTGGACCACCCGTGTGTTGCTCACGAGGATTGATGAGTAAGGATTGTTTTAGAAATGGGTTGACTAGGCGAAAAACTAATCATCCCTCGTGAACAGTACACGGGTGGTCCAACGACCAGGCTCTGACGAGTTCGAACTCGCCGAGACGTCAGCCATTGGACAAAGAGAGCAACAACAATAGGATTATCTATACCAAACTCGCGTCGGCTAAAAAAAGAGCAGTTCGTAAAAACACAAATGTTTCCATTGGCAAAACACTGTCACAGGTGTTTTCTGATTCCACTGATGGGTTGTCGTTGTTGTTGTTGTTGTTGTTGTTGTTGTTGTTGTTGTTGTTGTTGTAGTAGTAGTAGTAGTAGTAGTAGTTGTTGTTGTTGTTGTTGTTGTTGTTGTTGTTGTTGTTGTTGTTGTTGTTGTTGTTGTTGTTGTTGTTGTTGTTGTAGTTGTTGTAGTTGTTGTAGTAGTAGTAGTAGTAGTAGTAGTAGTTGTTGTTGTTATTGTTGTTGTTGTTGTTGTTGTTGTTGTTGTTGTTGTTGTTGTTGTTATTGGTCGATGGCTGACATTTCGGCGATTTCGCTTTACTTAGAGCCGTGCTGTTACGAGTGGGATAGTTCACTATCGACCAACAACAATAGCAACAAGGGTAACTTATACTTATATTTCCGATTTATTAAGAGATGTGCTCTGCAAAATATTTCCGACCTTTAAGGCACGTATTAGCAATTATGGGTTGTTGGGTAAGTGTATTTGACTCATCTTTGCGTGGACGTCTTATTTTTGCAGGTAATTCTCGAAGCAAACTTCCTGGACTTCGTGCATAACAGCTCGTTCAAAGAATCTTTTGCACAGCGTTGTATCTCAAAGAAGCAGGATTCTTCGGAAAATGTCGTTAGTTACTTATCTTTACTGCTTCTTTTCCATTACTTTTCAGAGTTTTGTCATTTTTATACGTTTTATCGCAAAATAATTATTACTATTTTGCGATTGACATTGCTTCGGAAGCCGTTAGTGCATTTGAAAGACTTGCCATTCCTGTTGACAAAACTTCATCATCAAATGAAGGACTGGACGGACAGAGGTAGCTAAAACTTGAGAGCTTTATCCAGTTACCATTTTCGAACTGTTTTTGGCACACCTGCCCTACCACTTTATATCTACTCTGTGTAGTTTTGGTTGCTTTTAGTGTGAGAACTCCTCTGCAAGAAAACAATGCATTTGCAAATCTTCCATCTGTTATTCGTCCAAAGGTCGAAGAAGTACGGTTGGTTAATATTTTTCTTTTCATTGAAAATTGTGTTTTCCTCTGTAACGGAAGTTTATAGTAAGAATCGTACTATTAGAAGAAGCTTCTGCTATTTTGCTCACACCAGTTTCTCGTTGTTTTATTGCTATTTTGACTGTCCTAAATTAACCCCTTTTAAGTTCAAATTCTTGGTCCCTGCGATTTTTCTGTCCATTATTTGTGTTTAAATTCGATGTATTAGTTAGAGTTCTTCGTCAGAAATATGAAGAGTTGTCTACTCATGCGCATCGAAATATAATACACTCGACGATAGTTGGGTAACCAGACGGTTCGGATCCCTCATTTCTATCATCTCTTTTGCTGCTTCTCTTCTATGTTTCCGCCGAACCAGCTTGGCTTGTTGTGCCAAAGTGTGATGGTGTAAAGCGAGAATTTTATTTTCCATTAGGATCTTCCAAGCTGAAAACGGGTTCGACAATTCACTCCTGAAACTGTTGTTCCAAGCGTAAACCATAACAGGATTTACCATCATCGTCGTAACCAATTATTCACAGTATGCCTCCACAAGCGTGGGCGACCTGATAAACTGCATGTTAGGCTCCCTTATAATTTCAGAGAACAACAAGTATCACAACCAGGAAGAAGACCGATGCGCGCCAATGAAATAACGGGACTCTTCGTTGGAAAAAGATACGGTCAGGTAGTGTTGGAGACCTTTGCCTTGCCGTCCTTTGATTTGTAACCTATCACGTCATCCCATCGGAGATTGGATCAGAAGCTGTTCGTCTTTTGCCGCCTGAAAGGAGCTCAATATCGCAGATGTGACTCTCGAGCTTATACGGCTTATGAGGCCGAAGTAGATACGTTTTAATGGATTTTCTTCAACTTTTTATCAAAGTATCTTACTCCGACTATTTATACTAAACAGTTACAATGAATAGAAGGTTGGGCATAACGTGGCTGGTTTTTTCAAACAAGAAATTTGGACCGCTTCTCCGTTACCACTTAGAGTTGCTTGACGAGAGAATTAAATTGGTTAATTTTAATGCAGTACATTTACCACCATGGCGGGTGGTGTACCCAGGCAGTGTAATTTCTTCGCACGAGAGCTTGCATGGCTACAGACAAAAAGGAACTCTTCGAAAAGCTTAAAATTAAATCGGTTTAAAAAGTACTTTTGGGTTATTGCGAATACAATGTTCTCCTATCAGCGCTGATCAACATTGATGGGATCATTACCATTATTGGTCATGATACTGAATCAACAATAGTAATGTTCTACACCACATTACGAGCACGATGCTGCTTCGACCCTACTTCGGGCCCAGCAAACCTCTCAGCTTTCAAGGGTTGGGAAATTGGTACCGACATGTCTGCGGAAAAGTTCGATTTCTGCAGTCCAAGTAGAAACGGTCTAGCTCGGCTATTTCGGGAGTCCAGAGAGAACCGACTCGAGTAGCATTCAACGACATTCATGGTGGAAGAAAAATCTTCAAGCAGCAGCTGAAGCCCCACATAAAATTTGGAAAACCTTTGCGGATGTTGAATGTGAGGAAACGAAAGAGATACAGGAAGTGCTGGTATCGGCACAGTATATATGAAAGACGGATCGTGTAAAAAAGGTTTACTCCAGTCTTTTCCTTACCGCAGTACCTGTTGTCGACTCCAAAATTCATCGCTGCAAAGAAACCACACAAGACTGTAGCGTTCGTAGTTGGTCCTGGAAGTCACAAACTACATCCCCTTATCGATAGATTATTGTATGCTTGAAAAGAAACTATCCTAGACTAGTGAGAAACTCACGCACAGTTGTGTCCAAGAAAGTGGTCGAAGAAATTGTCATAAGTATCGCCGGGTTTGCTTGTTGAGTGTACTGAATAACCTCTTTATTAAGATTATGCCACGTGCCCCTCTGCGGACTATGGAAAAGTTTTCAACAATCTCGAAACAATTCCAATCCTATGATTGAAGAGTGGACCTGTGTCCTACGTAGAAACTGTGGGTGACTGTTGTGGTCATTCCATTACAAAAAAAGTTTTTATATAGACCATTTACCGTCGTCATATGAAAGGACGTTCAACAGGGTGATATCATCGCGCCATAGCTGTTTACTGCCGCATCGAACGAGAAGGACAAAGAAATTGAGGGCAGGTTCCTACTTTCCTGTCTAATCCTCATTTTTTCCAGCGTATTACCATGTTTTCGAAAAGTACTCGCAGTGAGACAGTGGTAATGTTAGGGAACTCAACAAAGTAGAGAAAATGGCGGACTATTTCTAAACCGAACTGAAGATTCTCTGATTGTAGAGATAATATCGCACATGTACCGGAGGTGTCCAATGAACGTGGAGGACGACGTGAAGAGGAAAAGCAACGTAGGATACTACTTAGATCAGGGGGAGCTATCGACCAACTAATGCACGCGGACTCTACGTTGACCTTATGAACTGAGAAATCCTCACAACACTTTCCATTGGAGTTGCAAACTCTCGTAAACCAGGTACATTCGGAGCTGAAACGATTTGCGGTTTACACGAGGTTCGCGAACGCTACATCCTAGCCACCAACTACCATAGACAAAGGTCGAGTGATATGGGCACGATCTACGGTGTGGACTACTTGTGAAAACAGGACATCCAATTGTCCGAGTAGAGCGGCTACTTTATTCCTTACGGTATTCATTTCTTGGTCTATTACCTCTATTCATTCTTTCAGTTTGGTTTCTGTCTGTCCATGGACCCGACTTGGTTATTCGTATCTGCATTTCTTAAAATTTTCTCTTCTATATTCTTCCGGTTAAATGGCCATCTATTTCAACCACTCGGCCATGCATATTAACCAAATATTAAGGTGCAAAATGTCGGGAAACTGTTATTTGGTGAGCAAACGAATGCGTTTCTGTGCATAAATTTTTCTGGTATCCGTTTAACATCCTTTTCAGGATCCTAGTAGAGTGAGACAAAAGTTGAAATATTGGAGAAAATTCAATTGGGGATTAAGGAAATAAATACTGCACAAAATAATTTCTTCACTTCTGAGTAATTATTTCATTTAAAGAGCACGTAAATTCCGATCAGCTCGAGGTGGAGAAGTTGCGTTTTCCGTAGACGGTTCTCCTCTTGTTGTTCCGCCAAATGTCACCGACGACCTAGAGTCTGCCGCTTTCAAACAGGTAACTTTTTTGATTTTGTGATTTCAATTTTGAATGTATTGATTTGATATTGCGTAACATAGTGGGGTGCGTTTATCGTGGTGACCAGAGGTATTCGTAACGCACACTAGATTCACCGCTGGTTCGATCTCACACCTTGGTCTCGCCTAGCGCTCCACTGCTGGTTTGGCAAATTGCTGTCTGGAACGACAAAACACTAGCTGTGCTTACTTCGTTAGAAATGAAGGATGGGATAAAGGGTGCCTTTGTCATGTTATTGGTAAGGAATTCGTCACGGGTACCTTGTTCTGCTTTGAGGCGGCACTCGTTTACTCTGCTGGATAAAGGTATTCAAGCTGTGTGCAAAAGGTGGCGAACATGTGCAGAGGCTAAAGATTGCGTATTGTAATGAATGTAAATGTGAATGTGATGCAAAAATGATAAGTTGTAAGAATTCAGGCCTTAGAATATTTCTATATGAGCACTATTGTCACAATATCAATGATGTGTTGTGATAAAGAGCGTGGGAAATGAAGCACAGTGCGTTTAAACACATTGGGAACGCCCAGCTTGTTTACAGGCAGTAGTTTCATGGTACCGAGTATAGAAATATGCTAGAAGCTCACTTATACTATTTACCTACGAATTAGTTAGAAATAGAGGACGGTTATCGTATAATGTGAAATAATAAACATGTAAAAAATTCCGACTATTTATGAATATTGTTTGCGGTGTAATCTACCAGACAAGAACAGGTATACCCATATAGATATGCTGTTTCTCCTCGTCATCTGCTTGTCATCCGATTTGCTCCAGATTGTTCGACACACACCACAAGAGATTTCCCGGTGTTTTCGTATCGTTTTGTTAACTTTCGATAGAGGGTCCACCGAAACGAAGTTGAGACTAACTTCTGTTGACATGATTCAAGCGTATACACTTCAATTTTTGATAAGCTAAGGATCATTTTTAGGCGATAGTGTGAGGTGTTTTATTGAATGCGCAAGACAGCGAGAAATTTTGTGTTGTCGTCAATGTGTTAAATATTCAGCAAATAACCGACATTGTGGACGTATATGTCTATACATGGATGTCTTAGTGTTCGATAGGATGTGTGTAGGGCTCGTTTTCTTTTCGGTAGTTTCTTTTGGCGCTTAGAAGATTTTTTTTAGCAAATTTGTTCAATAGCTACATGATGCTTATCGAGAGCTGAGCAATGTAGAAGAGATCGTACCGAAAACTCATTTTCTGCGCTCATGATTTACAAAAAACCTTTCTTTGAGCAGGTTCATTAGCCGGTTGTTTGACCAACACAATAGTGCAAAGTCTAATTTGCAATCTGGCCGTGTTCGCAATATCTCAACTGCATTATCAGGAAATTATAGTTCATTGTCAAAAAATTAACAATCCTGTGAAGTATAACCACAATGATACCGAGTTATTTGAAAACTCCGGACTGTGAGTGTCTGTGGTGAGGATCGAACTCGCTATTACTATTTTCAAGGGCTAGTGCGTTAACCACCACACAGTGCTAGTCCTTTCTTGCTTTGTTTTATGAAGTGTCCCATTAAGGTTGAAAATTAGGCTTCGTTCTAAGGGACAACGGTGCTGAACGCTGAGCTTCAGTTAACAAACCAATGCTGTGCGAAGCACCAAACTTTTTTGTTCTTCGAAATCCTGCTTGTAGGATTGATTTGCTGTTCGAATTACGAGCCTAATGGGAGAAAAAATGAGAAAATGTTTTATGGACTGCAGGATGACTGAATTTCTTCTTGGTAAAGTGAAAGAAAAGTGGATCTGTTTGGAGAAGATTTCGGAATTCATATGGCCTTTAATTTAATTAATAAAGCTCACTGAAGTAGGTAGCGAAATGACAGTGATGTCCTTCACTACGAGCAAGACGGTTGTTTGACCCTCATGGAGCTCGGGAGAGTCACCTGGAATCAGCGAGCTCTGTTAAATCCAATAGAGTCAGAGAACACCTAATTTGATGATCTGGGAGCACCCTAGCACGTGTGTACGGAAGACCTATTCCAAAGGAAATCGGCCGATTTCTGAAATATCCAAGCAGCAGTCGAAGCCATCAGCAATATCCCAAGACCTTTGTAGAGTACGGAAGAGAGCAAACGACTCAGTAGGAGAAGAGCTGGAACCCGCACAATATGTGATATTGGGTTGCGTAAAAAAAATGGATTTCACCAGGGGTTGAAATGATTGGCAGTTAGAAACGACCATTATTTTGGCATTGTGGCTAATGTATGATTCACACGGTCGCGAGTGTATTAAAGTGCTTTCATATGTTTAAACAGTAACATCTGAAACCATAGCCTAAGTCGTTATGATACTTATAAAACTAGAACGTAGAGCATGTTCACCTTTTTTTTTCATGTGACTCATCTTTACAATTATTGTGCAGATCCCAGCATTTCATGCATTCCAACCATTTCCACGTTTGAGCCATCTATGATGGTCTTCAGACATTTCGCGTTTGGATTCTGCTGCTGCTTGAGGGTTTTGCGTTTTCGTTATGAATGTCGTCGAATGCCGGTCAAGTCGATAGTGTCTGGAATCGTGGGTTATGGTGCTAAGGCGTTTCCATGTGCATTAGAGAGAGATGGTTCCAGACAACTGTCGTATTAGAGCAGTGAAGATGATAAAACAATGTAATGGGCTGTAATGCAGTGTATTACGTAACGAGCTGTTCTCCACTGATGTTATTTCTTAAAAACGCCATCTTTAATTGCGCAGTTAGATTCGTTATGAGCTCACCTCTATGAAGAAGGTGAGCTCCACACAATTTCACCACGGGTTGTTATGTTTCTGAACGGACACTTTCTTCATCTTTATTGTTGAGGTAGACATGTCAGATCTGAACTACCTACCAAACATGTATGTAATTATGTACATAGCTATTTTAATAACAATATTTCTTCGCGGTGGTCATTTAGAAAACTTATTATCTTATTTTTCGATAAACGTATAAAGGATAAAGCTCTCGTTGTTGATCAACCCCTTAGGGATGTGCATTGCATTCGACCTCATTAAGGGCATTAAGAATGAGTCGCGGTGCCGACCTCAGGGTGGGGGGTTTGGTGAGCCTGCGAAATCGACCCCATGTGTATTGCAGGGCACCTCCGAGCAGTGTGCCACACACGCCCTGTTGTCGATTAACTCACTTATTATTGGTGCCTTTAACGTCTACACAGCGCATTTTAAAAAGGTTAACACTTTCGGAACAATGATATGAGGCTTGTGAAATGAAATGTAATTTTCTTAATCTCAGATCATAACGGATGATGGAGAAGCCTTAACTCCTGCCTCACGCGATGCTGTGTCAACAGTCAAACGCCTTGTGCTTAAGAAGATATCAGAAGTTCAGCGATCTCCACCACAATTGCTCTAAAATCCCTGGAAAGAAACGCTTCTGATTGTTCGCCCATCTGATTGTTCTGGTGATTTATCGCGACAATAAGCTGTTCTTCTATCTGTGCGAATTTAGGCATTATTTCGGTTTCAAAATTGTCCCGTCTTATGCTAGTAATTGTACGTCACAATATCCTTATGTACAACCGTATGCTATGAGTTTCGTTTTATAATAAATCTGTCCGGAACGCGACCAATCGTATGTGGGTAATACGTCTGCGAGTCCAAAAGCTGTTATTGAGGTTAAAGTTCATCGCGGAGAAGTTAGTCGCGTGGTGGCAAATCTCTCTCTGATCCACAAGCACGGCGACCGCCTGTCGTTGTGATGACCTAGGACAGACTTTGACCAGGGTGACCTCAGGGCTCCAGAAAATCACAATGGCTAGACCAACAAAACCGAAAAAATGGGGATTATACAGGAGCCTGCACAAGCGATGAAGGCGAGCCATCAAAGTACCGAAGTTATTGAGGTTACGGTAGCGCTGTGTTCGTGTCACCAAATAGACGTACCCTCCACTGGCGGTGGTATTCAGTTCTGAGACATCGTGCGTAGTTGACGCTTGATTTGCCGGTATAACTATAACTCGAGCTGAGGTCGGAAAGGTCATGGTCAGTGTAAGCCAAGCGTTCTATCCGGTTTTTTGTACGAAGTTCTTTTTGTCTTGTGTGAAATCGTGGAGAACTCCGATAGTTCTGGTGAAGTGTGATGGTTGAATGAAAAGGAAATGTCGCTTCAGCTGAGGTTAGGTTTGTGATAGTTGTCGTCGCCGTGGTTGGGCCACCCAGAGCATTATTGATTTTGGCGCCCATTGTATCCTTGTTGACAATCTCTCCTTTGCAGGGTCTTTGTGTATAACGGCTATTTTGGGAAAGCTATATTTGTTACCTGCGCACTTTTGAACGCTGTAATCCGTCGACGTTGACGTGTCTATGCTTTTTTTTCCACCAGGACTCGTTGTAGATTCCTGTCAATGGCCGATAGTGAGGTGAAAGCAAGGCGCAAGCTGGAGGAAGCGGAAAGGAAGTGTCGTGGTGGCGGAGGTTTTCTCGGGAAAATCTTTGGTGGAAGCAGTGCTAATGAAGCAGCGGACTTATTCGTTCAGGTATGTGTCTCAAACGTTTTGGTCAGTCGACAGTTTCTGATGTAAATAGGGCTGAAGAGTGAGGTGTTGAACCTTCGGGCTAGAATTGAAGATCAAAATTCCGATGTCCCCCTTATCCATTGTCGGATGAAATGGCGTTGAGGGGCTCAGTAGCTTTTTTCTTGTTCTTTACATCAGGTTTACAATGGTTCTTTACGTTTATGCAATGCGTTTTATTCAAGGTTCTAGTGGTTTCACTTTTCACTATGAGCGTTGTAATTTTCCCTACGTTGTTATCCTTTAAGCACTTACACTTTCAGTTACAAATGTACTGGCTCCGTTTGTGAGTGACCTTGTTTCGAAAAGTTGACAGTTGCAGTTGGAACTGTGTTGAAAATTAGTTTTTCTACCGTTAACCGTGGAAAAAGTTATGCATTTATCGAAACCTTAACACCTTCTTTATGTTCAGCCTAGCTCCTTACCTTATACAGTTATCCACATAGCGAGTTCTATAGTCAAATTTTAAGGTGGTGAACAATACTCATTATAACCACAACGATGCTGGGATATTCGCAAAGCTTGGACCCCAGGTCAAATCGTACCACGATTTCCGTTTCCGGAGATTTGCGCATTACGCACCGCGCTACGGATGCCCTTGCTCTGCTTTTCTCTCAGCTAGTTTTCTACCTAACGATGCCATCCGCATTCACCCATCATAATAATCATAACGACCTAATAATCATTATGTTAACTTCTTCATATACTGCCTTCTACAATTTCCACAGCAGGGTATTATGCGAAATCAGCCATAATGGTAAAAAGTCTCAGCTTAACTGGGTTTTCCATGCCGATTTGCCCTCCCCAGATCAGTCCTATTGATGGGTGATTGCTGATAGCACTCATAGATAGAAAACTAGCTGAGAGACAGGTGAAACAAAGAACGCGCCTGGTGTGGTGATGAACGCGTTATCCCAGAGAACGAGTAATAGCGTCTTCGATTCCCACCGCAGACACATGCCGTCCGGAGTTTTGCAAATATCTCAGCATCATTGAGGTTGATAGTCGTTATTTTATAGTGTTCGTTCCGTTAATGTCTTTAATGTGGTGTGCTCAGGGTTGTTCTAAGTCGTCCGTGACTAAAGACGACGACAATTCGAAAGGAGTGGACGACGCGTTTTCCAGTGATCGCAGTCCTTCTGCTGAATGCGAGTTATGTGGGCGCGAGTTCAACGACGTCGTCACGTTTGAGTCCCATTACAGAACCGCGCACTCTCATGAGTGCTCTGCATGTTCGAAGATGTTCCTGAGCCAGAAAGCACTGCATGTTCACATTGACGAGACACATTGCCCATTCTATCGACTTCGCGTCGAGAAGAATCCCAGCGGAAATCATTTCCAGTGTTACGACACAGATTGCGCGAATACCTTCGCAACCGGGAAGGATCGAGATCTTCACTGCCGCGAGAAACATAATATCGAAAGTGTCGAGGTCACAATCGAACGACGGAAATTCGCGAAAAGAGTTCATGAACTTGAACTATCTTTCACTAGAATGGGTGTTCGTCCAAAGAACAAAAGAATGGTGCCTAGAGCGATCCGCTTTGGTGACCAGGAAAGGTCTTTTGAAGGCGTTCGACAACGAAGACCGATAAGAAGCACGAAAACTAAGGTGTAACTAATGTGTTTTTCTAGAATAAAGTGAATAAATTCGTGTTCTATTTCTGACGCTGTGGTTCGCGCCTGATGTATTTTATGTTATTTTTTATTTCTTAAGGCTGGAAACCTGTTCAAAATGGCCAAACTTTGGAAGGAAGGAGGTGATGCCTTCGTGAGGGCAGCAGAACTGAATGGAGCGAAAGTATTGCATTTGTTTTTTCTGCTTGCCGAAATATTTTGTAGTAGGGATAACCATAATGCGGTTTTAAGGGAGATTCCAAACACGAATGTGCAAGCCAGTATGCCGAAGCTGCCAACTGTTACAGGAAGATCAACCCACAGGTATATCATGAAAATTTGCTGATACTTTTATTTTGTTTGAGGTCTGCTATACTAATGTTCGTATGTTTGTAATACCTCCTGCTGCCTTACCGCTTCATCGTTGCATGGAGGTGTTCCTGCGTATCGGGTTGCGATGTACATCGGGGCGATTTGTCCCACCGGCAGGGTCTCCCAAGCTGAGAAGGGGTCCAGTGTTTCCATCAGGAAGCCTAGCTAAGAGTAAACCGAAACCAGGATCCACCACCGTCCTGGTATCCGACTAATTGCATGGTGGCAAATCTCATTCGGATCCACAAGGCGACTGCCCTTCGTGGTGACGACTTGGGGCAGACATTGGCTAGACTAACGTCGCGACTCCAGGGAAACGCAATGCCTAAACTAGCAGTACTCCAAAAAGTGGAGAATATGCTGGTGTCCGCAAAGCCAATGAGGACATTCGGTCCAAATATCCAAACGCATGTTTGTATCAACTAGCTTTAAGAGTACATCTACTATTGCTCTGAAATGACTTTTTCGGAATCATTTTCACTAGGTGGATTAATTTAACCAAATTTTTAATCCATTAGGAAGATAGCGAAGTTATTATAAAACTACTGAATTACTTCTGTGTTCATTTAGTTAGCTGTGGACTGTCTTTTGAAAACATGTGAGATCTATACAGATATGGGACGCTTCAATATGGCTGCAAAAAACCACGTTACAATTGCTGAATTGTAAGTACTTTCCAAATATTTTAGTGTTTATATTGTTTAACGACTTAACTGCTGTTTACTCCTCAATGGTGCTGAAATATTTGCAAAGCTGTACACCGCAGGTTTTTGCGGTGGGGATCGAACACGCTGTTAAACTTTTTAGGGGCTAACGCGTTCACCATAACACTATGCGGGTTCTTGATTTCGCATTTCAGGCAGCTTTTTTTTTAAAAAGAAACATTCCTTTCAATAATTCTTTTAACTTTTTAAAATATATTTTTAAGTAATTTGCACTTTAACAGTGATATCAGCCACTTGCTAAGAGAAAGATGAAACGAAAGACCCACATGACGTGGTGGTGGACGCGTTAGCCTCCGAAAAGGAGTAATAGTGTGTTCGATCCCCACTGTAGACACCTGCCGTCCGGAATTTTGCAAATACAGCTCCATTGTGGTTGTATCACACATAATAACCCGCCATAAAAATTTTTAATAGGGAGTAGATAAAAAGGTTAACACTGTTTACTTCTCGTTGAGATCTTCTATAAAACAATAGTGATGCGTTTTAAGATTTGAAACTGAATGCCCAGACACGGAACAATGTATTCAGCATTATCAAAAAGCCGCTGATTACTACAAAGGGGAAGAGTCGAAAAGTAGTGCAACAAAGTGTCTCATCAAAGTTGCCCAGGTAAGAGACAAGTTTTCTTTTGCTCCAGAGATTTTTTGCACTGCATTGCCAGAGATTCATTGGAGCTTTAGCGTGATATCCAGTGATAGCTAGTTAATTGTGATGAGAGAACTCAATAGTTCCTACGCTTTGCACTGTGCTGAGTTAGGTTGGTAGAACGTAATCTGAGTTAACGTTGAATTTAGCAGCTCTTTTACTTCTCAACGGTTTCTTGGTGTTTAGATTCAAGAAAATTGATGGAGTCTTTTGTAGTTTACAAAACTCAGCTAAGAGAAACGCAAGACTAGGGCTTCAGTGGTGCAGTGTGCAATACGCGAGCTCGCAAAAGGGTAGTCGTGGTTCGATCCGGCTCGGAGTCCAAGTTTTGCGAATATTTCAGCATCGTTGTGACTGTCGTATCCTTTTCTTATAGTATGCTGCTCAACTGGAACAATATCAGAAGGCGGTAGCTGTGTTCGAGGAGATAGCAATGTGGGAGGCCGACCATCCAACATTGAAATACGCCGCGAAGAATCATTTCTTCCAGGCCCTTTTGTGCTACCTTTGTATGGATCCGGTGAGTAAGTGCTAACGTGCTAGAAAATTACGTTAGGAAGGTCACTACATATGAATTTGTTCAGTTTCTGATGTAGTGCTTCACGAGGAAAACGTTATGAGATACTTATTTTCTTTTTTTTTTCATAGGGTTTTCTAGGGTCTGTTGCTTCTACACCTCAGCATTTTCTTTATAAAACTTTACTTGAAATGCTAATGATCTTTTCCACCCCTATTTTTGCATTTGATGGCAGCTATAAGTCGTTCTAGCTTGATGCACAACACGCGTTGAAGCGTTACGAAGACGTATCACCTTCGTTTGCAGATTCACGAGAGGCCAAATTAGTCAAGGTACATTTATTTATTGCCCGAGATCATGAATATATCTCATGGAAACAGTTGTATATTCTCTATGCAGTGTTAAAGTGTAATACGGTGCGGTAAGGTGTGATGGTGTAATGTGTAATATGCGAGCCTTCGGAATAGGTAATCATGGATCTCAGCATTGGTGTAGTTGTTTATTCTGTTACCGAAAGTGCTTAGGCGGACTGCAGTAATGGAAAGATAAGAGGGTTGTGAATCATTACAGTGTGCGTTGTGTAGTATAATGGATGTTTGGAAAACTTCATTGAGTGGTAGTAATCAGTGAAAGTTTTAGGATGTTTTTATCTTTTCTCTTCCCCTCTCCTTCTTCTAGTCTTACTGTGAAATTGGCATGCGATGCCTCCAAAAATGTGATTATGAAAGTTGTCTGACATGTGTTCTCGCTAAGACATTCCAGTTTTTCAGGACGTTATAGCATGTCTCGAGGACGGTAATGAAGAGTTATTCACAGATACGGTCAAGGCATACGATAAAATCAGTCGACTCGACCAGTGGCATACTGGATTACTGGTTAAGATCAAAAGAACCATTAACAAGGAAGATGAGGATGATCTTAAGTAGTTACGTGATTGGCTTTATCCGTTAAGGTTGGTGCATCTGTTCTGTTTTGGTTCACCGAGATTTCGTTTTCGCCTGTTTTACCGTTCTTGCAGTGCCCTGACCAACTATCAACGACTATTTGTCATTCATCTAATCAACACCGTAAAGGTTGTGTAATTGTTCTCCTGTAAATATCTAATTTAATTCTTTGCTGTTTTAGCTTTTTAGTCAGAGTAGGCTATGTTTATTATGGACCATATGTTTGGGAGCTTCTTGTGACAGAATGTCTTCGATTATCGATTTTTCGATAATAAAATTAGCAAATGTTGTTTACTGTTTCTCACTTGATGTGGAGATATTACTGACTATTAATGTTATCTACTCATTTATGGAAGTTTTTTTTAAAGCCTAGTACTATGTATTATACCATTTCACATCTGAAAAAGTGTTTTTCTGCTATCGTTTCTTGTTTTCTTACAATCGCGTCTGGCTTGGCGCACTCTATCCACGAATGTTTGGACTTTCACGTGCTTCCCTAAAGAAATCTTCCAGGGATAGAGTGAGAAGAGAGTTATTCAGTGTGTTTTCTGATTTTTTTCTCCACTAACTATCGTCCACTTTTTATGGAGTCTAATCTAGATTTTGAGCTGGAAGTCGTTCCGCATTTCTCTTCCAAGAAATCCAAAATTGATGGGAAAGGTGGTGGGACATTCAATAATTATTTAAGCAGTTTATCTCGTTCACCGTTGTTTTGTTCCTTTAACTTACTTCTGAATGAAAGATGTAGGCCCATTTGTTTAGCTGTTCTATTGTGGTTCAGCTATTCCACCTTTATGTCATATGTGTCGTACTTAGTTACCAGTGTATCGAGCCAGCGCTGCTATCCTCCGAGATAGGTCTGCGGGCCCCAGCGTATTCTCCGTTTTTCGGAGTTTTGCTAGTTTAGCCATTATGTATCTCTGGAATCCCGAAACCAGCCTGGCCAAAATCTGCCCCAGGTCGTCACCACCACAGACATTCACGGCCCTTGTGGATTAGACGGAGATTTGCCACCATGCGACTAGTTTGGTACGAGAACGCTGGTGGATCCTGGTAATGGTTTTATTCTTAGTTGGGCTTCCTCATGGAAAAATCGGACTACTGAGCTTGGAAGACTATGCTGGGGGAATGAATTCACCTCTTTACATCGCAGTTCGACACTCAGGAACACGTAGCCACGATGAGGCAGTGAACCGTTGGGCGGAACATATTAAATATTAGTATATAGTAACATTCTTACCGTTCATCCTCCACAGCGATAAAGTCTCTTCTATAGAGCTTTGGTGTTCTATGTCGCTAAGTGTCCGTAGTTATCAGAAATTACAAGCTATCGACGAAAACCAGCAAGTCCATTATGGCTTGGCATTAGTTGCTGTTCCATGCATTCGCCACACAGAACTAACTAGGCATCGGCAGGAACGCGTTAAAGTGGGTGAGGCGTTTTGTGGATGAGGGTCTATGGAGAAGTGAGCTCTCAAAGCTAGGAAGGAGAATTTTCCATACATGTTGAAGAAATTGTAATTAACTTAACTAAATGTCATTAGTTCTAAATGCCACAATTCTTCAGTTCTACGCTCAAGAAGGTTTTGTTAGCCCTGTGTTTTGATGAGGATTGGGAGCCGCAATCCAGAGCACACTACTTCAGTTCTTTCGACGTAGTCATTATCTATGTGTACATTGTTCTCACTACCGTGGGTACTGCTGTAATTCCTATGGTTCTCAGTTCCATGAGTGATGATGTCGAGTACTGGCGTACAAAGTATGCATTGCTTGAGGATCAATTTCTGCAACAGAGAAGGAGAAATGAAGAGTTGGAAGATAGACTTCTGCATATTATTGAGAAAGTGGAGACTGAGAAGAAGCAGCTAGCAAATGAAATCGATCTCCTTACTAAGTAATTATTTTCCTTGGGATTAGAATTTTCCCTTGGTTTAAAAGTAACTAGAAATCAGATTATATAACCCTGTTTTTAGGAAACTTGAAAGCGTTACTTCAAGGAATACGAATTCGATGGGTAGAGAGACTGCCGACGAGGTGGATGAGCCTGAAGATCCATCAATGACGGTATGTGAATATGTGAATGAAATCGACAGCAACTCAGATGTTTTCTTCTGCAGTCATCTTCCCGTTTCAACAGGATACTGCGCTTGCCGCCATGCTAAGTCTACGATCTTTTGGTACAGAAGTGATTTTTGGATGTCGCAACAGTACTGGCACCCATCAAGAGAATGGCTACCACCATTTCCCTGTACTGGCTTTGGAAGAAGGTCTCATTTACGGATTTCGTTGGCAGAAGGGGAGTGCTGTGAAAATTGTGTAGACGTTAGAAATTGTAATTAGCACTATTACTAGTGTGCATATCCGTACGATGTTCTCGCTAAGTTTTAAGAAACTTTTGTGAAGGTCTGGATCATTGCATGTAGTAGTACACTTACTTGGATACTTGGACGGCACGTCCTCACTGATGGTGCGGACGGATCCCAGCATATTCTCCATTTTTCGGAGTTTTGCTGGTTTAGCCATTGTGTTTCCCTGGAGCCCCGAGGTCTGCCTAGCCAAGGTCTGCCCCAGGTCGTCACCACCACAGGCTGTAGTCGCATTTCTGGATCAGAGGTAGATTTGCCACCATGGGACTAGTTTAATACCAAGACGGCGGTGGATCCTGGTATTGGTTTACTCTTAGCTGAGCTTCCTGGTGGAAACATCAGGACTCCTTTTCAGCTTGGGAGACCCTACTGAGGGACGAATTTGCCCACTGTACATCGCACCCCGACACCTAGGTACAACTCCTAGCCACGATGAGGTAGTAAACCGTTTGGAGGATTGCATATATTGCATACAGAGTCCGACAATAATTGAGATAGCATTTCCATTTTCGCCTATTCTCCAGGAGCGATGTGGATGAGACTAGTTTGTAGAGAGATAAAAATAGTTCTGTTTAAAGTTCTAGGTAAACACTGGCTAAGTGAATTGCATTTAATTTCGAGCAAGTACCTCAGGAGTTCCTCGTTATCGTACTCGCTTACGGTTCCAGGCCTTCTCGTGCTTCACTAGTTGTAACTGAGATACAGATTTCAACAAAACCTTTTCATTAACCTCGGAAACCGCACGTTAAATGACAATTTCTAGTTACTTAACAAGAATTTACAGTGGCATTATCGCGCTAATGGAACAACGTGAAAACTTGTTGCAGTAATGCTACGGATTGATGCCCGTTATATACCCAAGTACGAACGAGATATCACTTCTGAAAGATAACCAAAGGTCAATGAAAGGGTGCAAACAACAAACAACGAACACAAACAAACTGAAAAGAAAATAACAACGAAAACAAAGCAACAATTATTCACAAGAAAAGCCATGCGTCCGGTAAACCCGGAAGAACGTAAGTTACATCTGCAGCTAACTAAACTATGTAGCAGTGAAATGAGAAAACTGTTTAGAATAACGTTAAACATGGGTTACTGCACAGAAATCGAAGTGATACAAATAAACAGCAAGGGTACTCGAACACACGCGTTCACGAACAAAAGGCGTCCGGGTAAGACGGTAGGATCTACATGATGGTGACGACTATATCTGGGATGTAATATTGCTGCACACGCGTTCTGATCGAAGTACTCTGGTCATCTGCATTAATAGAATGTGAAGCTAATAATTAATAATAACTAATAATCAATATAATGTGACAGAACAAGAAAGCGAAGCGATAAAAAATTAGAAACACTTCGTTGGGCTGAGAGCAGGAGTTGTGGCGGAGGCATCCTGTGAGGCTGCAGAAGCAGCAGACGTATTCATGAACAACGAAGGAAAAGAATTCACTAGTGAGGTGGCTGTTGGAAATGTGGGGAGGTGTAGTTCGTTAGCGATTTGAAATGAAGCCAGTGCAGACTCGAGAAAATTTGGGCTGAAATATTCCAGACCGTTAGAGGAAGTCAAATAGTTATATACTCCATAACAAATTAGTGCACATCAACTATGTCTGTTATAAACTGACAGCGTTTTAAAGAGAGTGTGTTAAAAGCTAGAAGGACAAAGCTCTCGGCGTTGACCTATCTCTGAGAGATGCGCTATGGATTCGAATTCATTACGCATGCGTTGGAGGTCATTGAATGGATATCTGGCTTTTAAAGTGACTCGCGGTGGCCTACCGATGTATCGAGCCGGTGCTGCTGTCCTCCCAGACAAGTCTGGTATCAATTTGCCGGCCCCGGAGGGATGGAAGGCTTAGTAGGCCAGGGATGCGGATATCGATCCCATGTGCACTGCAGAGCGCCTCTGACCACTGCGCCACACGCGCCCTGAAGATCCCAGTCAGATCTCGACTCCTGTCGCAGAATTCAGAGTTCTGAGTGCTAACCGTAGGACCTGTATTACCTAAGATTAATGTTATACGTTATGTATACATTGTACAATACCAGCGTAGTATTCCAGTGATACAACAACACATTGTAACATTCAGAAGTAACGGACGTATTCACGTCCTTTGGATCCTTTTTCTTGAGAAACCAAATACATATGTATGCATGATTCCCACTTAAAACTTTCATAGAGCTACTATATAAGCTCTAACACAGCTTGCGTTCATGGGAAATTGGCATATCAAACTCACTTCATGAAAGCAGAGTAGTCAAGCGGTTGCTGTGAGTTCGTCCCGACATATCCAGGATTCGAAGGCTTCTGAAGAAATGCGTAGATACTCCCATAACGACCACTGTCGTTTCTTCGAAAATCGTTGACAGAATTCAGAATAATTGTGGGATCGTTTCTTTGGTAAGCTTACACGGGGATGATAAATGATCTTCATTTCCCGCTAACGTTTCGAAGTTTTCGTCTTCATCAGACTGTCGACTAGGACCATCGGCCCCGATGAATATGAAGACGTCGAAACGTTTGTTGAAACTAAAGATCATTTATCAGCCTTGTGTAAGCTTCTCAAAGAAAGAATACATACTGAATGGTGGTGTCAAGTTTGAAGGAAAGTCGGTTTTGAAATAATTTTTGAACACCAAATTTTGATAATGTGCTCGCTAGCGTAATGCTCCCAATTTCGTACTTTGCCATTGTGTCAATATGTACTTACACTGTTAGGGCTGTTTGTTGGTGAAACGAATATGGGAGCGCGGATTGGAGAAACCAGTGGTACAGGAGTGATGATTCTATTTGAGCTGGCTATAAAAATAAGTTATCATCCAACTTATATCGAGCGATTTAGTAGGAAATCAAATATTTTACATATTGCCGACTTATGGAAGGGTCTGTAAGTTCCATTAATGATGGCTAATTCCATTAGTTGCTTTCTTTTAAGCTCATCAGTTCCTTCTGGCTGAAACACTCAATAGTCAAGTAAGAACTAAAAACCATAAGTTGAAATTCATGCTGCAGAAAACCTTCGTAACGTTGTTGAGACGAAGTTAATCGCTTATGAATTTCTCCCCGGATTTTAATCCCTGACGTACAAAACTAACCGCTGGAACAAGGAGTTTCTTAACATGGTCCATAGCCGAACGCAGTTTTATCCTTGCCCTGTTTTCGGTGTCTTCGCACTGCAAAAGCACATGCAGTTCGTCGTCAAGGTGCTCCCAGTTGGGCTTTCCTCGATTAGCTTCTTCCTAAAATAACATCATTGTAACCAGCTAAAATGATGAGCGTTGTCCACAGTTTAATATATACAAACTTTTCGTTTGTCACGCATTGATCCCTTGCCCCTGACCATTATTTTGCAGCCAGTTTCTTGTTCTAGCTGTTTTGCAGTCATACCCCGTGGTCCCAGGATCCGTCCAACGAAATTGTACTGCAAAGAAATCGGATCACATAAGAAAGAACTGGTGCTCAAAAAAAAGCGAGCAGACACACATCTGGATACTCCCTTTTAGGTACATAAATCTTCTCCGTAATTGTAACGACGTCTCCAATAGGCTCTGGCAAGTCAAAGGGCTCGGTGACGAACTCCGTCTGGAACAGTGCACCCCGCACCCGTGAAATCTCTGAAATCACATGTTGATATCAAAGTACTAGAAAAAAGAAACAACTCATAAAAATAAAACAGAAGAACGTAACGCTTGTGGTGATTTTTACTTTCTCAAACTACAATTACTGCTCGAGTAGGCCAGCCCCTCTACAAATTTAACTCTTCGTTGGCATTTCCTCGTTCGTCTAAATGTGATGCAAGTATAAACAAATTTGTCAAGGAGTAGTGTTCCTTTGTCTAATAGGTCTGAGCTAAAATAGCACAGAAATGCGACGAACCCTCGCTGAGCAACCTGTCAACGTGCTGGAAGTTATCTCCAAACATCTCCAGATCCTTCTTCTCCTTCACCAGATCTGCTAGATACTCTAGTGAACAATCCATGTGTGATGCTCCATCAGGCGAACCAGATCCGAATGAAGGTGATTCTAAAATGTAATCTCGTCAATTGTCATTTTCATCAGCGTTAAGCGAAACCCGTACTCCTTCCATCACTGTTGCTGCGCAATCGGCAATCCGCGGCAGCCGCTGGTAAGCGGCACCTGGAGGTTAAACCTCTCATTGTTGAGTAAGAAGGGAACACCTAAACAAGAATTTCGACACGATAGAATCTTCCGGATAAATATGACGCGAGAATCTCCAAGTCTTGTTAGCAGTATCAAGTACATTTTCATCACTTCTTGAAACTGAATGGTATCCTCTTAAGGGCGATCCCGCAACAGCGTAAGGAGCACGATGTTGGTACGTGGAACACGAGTGCATCCCCTCCTATCTAAGAAGACCATATAAGAAAAAACTAGTTTAAATATCAATTAACGTGAGAGAAATAAGAGAAGGGCCTTCAATAACATGGACAATCAATCTACACCTAAACCAAAATCTACATTCTGCACTTCTACAACAAACAGTAACTGGTAAGGGTAGAAACCAGGTGCTGCACGACGTGGCCGTCCACCTGCCATCAGCACTGCCAGCAGTACATTGAACTTACCATGATTTAGGCCCAACATTATTCGACCGCGTCCCACTACCGTAAAGTATGAACCTGATTGAAGTTTTTTCCCGCGAATTTCAAATTTCGATCTACGCGAGGCGTCGTCGCTCAGCCCAACCCAGGCGGATGCTCGCATGCCGTGATTGACAAGATCAACGTCAGAGTTTCAGATTCATTTCACTGAGTATAAAGACGACTGTGAACATAAGAAACGTGTACAATGGAAAAGCCAGATCTACAGATTGAATACAATGCTGACAAGACAATCCAACCGATCAATACAACCGAACTGATCAATATAACACACAAATCGAAGCAGGCAGGTCATGTTGTTTCACTGGCAGTCAGTCACGAAATAGGCACAGTCAGTGTATCATTGAGGATTTCCGCGATAGGACAAGTAAAGTCGAATGGTGGAGTGTTTCCGCGACCCTGAAACCGTTGCAGAATCAGAGTTGTCGGCAGAAGTGAAGATTTATGGACAGGTTTAACACCTACGCCACGACGTAAGCTCTATAGGAGTCATACGACGCTAGTATAATAGCCGCTCCCAACTTTATACCAGGATATTGACACTGTTAGAGCCCACAATTACCTGCCTGTAGGGCAAAAGTTGTTTTGTCTTGTTAGGATAAAATTGCGATTTTTTGGAGACTACGACGTGTATTTTTTCGACCTTTTTGTTTCAAGATCTATATTTAGCACATGCAAGCAAATGAATAAACAAAATTTTGTCATCAGTTGTTATTTACTGCCTATTAATTTTTAACGGCACGGTATTGTGTGAAATATAACCATAATGTTGCTGAGATATCTGCAAAACTCTGGGCCGTTGGTGTCTGTGTTGGAGACCAAACACGCGATTACCTTATCCAGCGGCTAACGCCTTTACCACCACACCATGGGAGTCTTTGGTTTCGCCTGTCTCTCAACCACGTCATTCACCTATAGGCGCTGTCAGAAATCACCCGTCAAGGAGACCAACGACGTCAACGACCGTTAAGCCAGGAAAAGGTAATAGCGTGTTCGGTCCTCACCGCAGACACCAGCGGTCCGGAGTTTTGCAAATATCACAGCAACATTGTGGTTGAAGAAGGCTTTATTTAGCACAATACGAAGGTGCTACCAAAAGTCTTTTCTATTAATCTATGTAGTTCTGGAATTCTGAAATCTTTTAATGACCAAGAAATTATCGCCAGTTTCGAAAAAAAAAACCCAGCTTCGTCGCGAAAGAGTTAATGGCGTCGCCTGTATTCCATAGAAAGAAAAGGAATTTGACATAATGATGATAAATCCCACGACCGACTTTTTATTAACCTCCGTATTGATCAAATAGTTCTCGACACTTCATAATACCCTTCAGGTTCCGAAAGAGGTGATACTGCTGAAATGTCAGCTTTAATGGAATAAAGAATAAAGTAACAGCTTGTGTTTGCTCAACAAGAATATCGAGAACTATCATTAGGATAATTGGAGAGAAACACAGAATAGCTGAGATAAATAATCCGCCTATCAGTCAGATGAGAAAAGTTAAATTTTTCAGTATTGAAAGTTTGCACAGAATTTGTGCAGAACGTTAACTGAATGTTTCTCGTTAGAATTTCTGTCGCAAAGAGAGTAACACTAGTGCTTTTATATTTCAGCCTTACAGTAGAAAAGATGTAAAACCTAGTCATAAAATAAATATATTAGATTGAAAATAATTTCCAAAACCATTAGCAGCATTTTTCTATGGAAGTAAATGTATGCTGTTTAAAAACCTCGCGATTGCTGAACAAGAAAACGACACATTCATATTCCAATGCCGAGGTTAATAGAAAGTCGATCCTGGGAACCATTAGCAGCTTTTGGTAGCTCCTCAATAACCACAATATACGAGAAATTGGAAGGTTGCGCTAAAATTTGACTCGGAATTAAAGTTTCGTTTGAAATTAGATTCCCTCCAAAAAAATTCAGAAATTTTCAAAACCTAAGCGGAGCGACTGCAAACATCAACAACATATTCGAGGATACCGTTGTATCCTGAACGAGGGAATCTCGCTTGTTCAATCTGCTTGCTATTCAAAATATGAATCTCGAAGGAAAAAAACTAGCAAAAATGAAGTGTTCTAGGTCCTAAAAAATAAGAATTTCATTGTTCAAAGTTAAAAGACACACTGATTTCGAGCACGTAAGTCTTTAAGACGATGCAAACAATCGCCAAATGGTCAACATTAGAACACTTCAGCTACGCGAATACTCGTTTTTGATGGAGTACTTGTGCAAGCAGTATGTGTAAAAGGTTATGAAGTTAGGATAAAAAAATAAGGCCCTCGCCATTGATCGAACCCTGAGGGATGCGTAATGCATTAGACATCATCAGGCAACGTTTGAGGTGATTGAATGCATATCTGGCCTATAAAACGGAATCAGCTACCATCCTCCCAGATAAGTTTGGCACCAATTTCCCAAGCCCGGAGAGATGGAAGGCTTGGTGGGTCAGTGGCACGGCGATCAATCCCATGGGTGCCTCCGACCACTGTGCTACACGCACCTTGTCATGAAGTTATGTGGTTGCAATGCACGAAACTAAAATCATCGGAGACATAACGCTTTCTACCGAGGTGGATTTTTTGGCTGGAAAGAACTTTAATCATGTTGAATACCTAAAAAGTACCTGAGTGGTGTTGACCTCTACTGCGCTACTGAAATGGGGCATAACTACAGCTGAGATCATATAATGGCTAAGTTTTGACACAAAATCCCACTTTTTAGTAGCGCAATGCCACAGGAAAAGTTCGAAACAGCACTTAACTGACGGAGGTGTTTTGCCAAAAAAAAAAAATGTAAATTTCTATCTTCTTAATAAAACTTTATCCACTTTTGTTCCTGCTAGATCCCATTTTAGCCCAGATATTCTGACTTTCTCGCTATTAAAATTTATGTCAACGCTTGCCTTCAAAATGAAGCCACAAGAACTATACAAGCAGAGACCCTTATTAGGAAAAATGAACTGTGCCTGCTTTCACATTACAGAGTACCCTTTTTTTTTGAAATGATAAAAGTCCATCGACAATGCGATTGCCTAGATCGTTTATGATAACGGGCGTTTAGCAGACTGGAAAAAAAATGACGCACAGCAACAACCCCGATCCAATTTGCGCCAAGTTATGATGGCTATATTGGGGAGTCAGTAGGTAGTGCTATCTCCTATGAATTCATGAATCTTAGAGAAACTATTATACTACTTTGAAATAATTATGACTTTGTCAAAAAATCGAAGAAATGCATCCACAGCTGCAACGTCTGCGATATCTATTGGTCAGCGGAAACAGGCAACTTTGTATGTGAACGCCTAACCACAAGCAGAGCCATAAAAGAAGCGAAATAACGCATTGGGCGTCGATGAACCCTTGAGGGATGTGCAGTGTGCTCCACTTTATCAAGCGTAAATAGAAGCATCACTGCCTTGCTGAATCGGTAGCCCACCACAAACCATTTTTATGGGTCAGATATGTACTCAAACAGGGTGTCCTTTGATACAAACCTAGCCCCAATTTACTTATCCAGAGGGGATGGAAGGATGGGTGAGGCCAGGGAGCGAATCGAACTAACGACCATTTGCGTGCTGCGGTGTATCTCTAACCATTGTGTTACACGCACCCAAAAAAAGTTAAGAGGCGAAAAAATGGAAAATAAAACTTTAGTTAACACAATATATTCATTGAAACTCTTGCCAAACCACTGCCACTTTCTTGAGAACATAAATAACTACTCGGCGAGGAAACCTTTAAAACCAACCAGGCGTGTTTGGACTTAAGAATACTGTTGTGAAGGACGACTTACTTATTTGGATACATAGATGGTCCATCTCGACTGGTTGTTTGGGCCTCAGCAAAATCTCTATTTTTTCGGAGCTTTGCTGGTTTAGCTATTGTGGTTCCCAAGAATCCCGAGGTTAGTCTAGCAAATCTACCCCAGATCGTTACCACCACAGGCAGTTACCGCCTTTGTGGATGTGAAGGAATAAGGAAATTTAAAACTCAATAACAAAGATGTGTAAATTCAAATGACTTTTATATCAGTCCATAAGCAACTCACTACGAAACTTAAAAAAGAGATACATATATTCAAAGTTTAAGCTTAAAGAACCCGCAAAAATTTTACGACAACCTAATACAAAGAAACCGTAATTAAAACATAGCGGACCAGCCTGCTTTTTATAAGTAATTTTAATCTTTTGACGAGATATAAGAATAACTGAAGAATCTAAAACCTGACAGCCTTACAGAAGAGGCTGTATTTTAATGCCTAAAGGCATACATAAATTCGACACAGCATTCTTTCAATTTTGAAATCATATAGAGCAAACATTTAGGTAAATTTGAAGGCGAAATCCAAGCTTCCACAA